TTGTGAAAAATAAATGTGAGCTACAGTGTGGGTCCGCAATTAAAGGGGGGGGAGAACGGGCCAAGGGCTTTAATTTTGTGTTCTCAACCCTAACACACTTGATACAGTCGATTTAGAAGCAATACCGTACAAGTAAAAGTCACATTGTAGTCAGTGTAATCCGGACTTTTTTCATTTGTGAACATAAGTATTTATGGATCCACGGATATGTGGGCTGCTAGCCGCACGTCAAAAAGGAAGACAAAGCTACTGTAATATATAGTAAATTGTGGGAATAGTATTAGTTAGATATATACTTATTTCTATTAATATAGACTACGTGCCGCTACTTCATAAAGCCTTTTGCGACGGGTTTGCCGCTTTTTTTGATAAATAGAACCTATGCCTATTAGAGTCCGCGCTAATAAACGCACAGAGATTTCTTTCGTGCGCTCATATTCTGGAGCGGATCCCATAGCCACTCGGACATCAAACGCTGTTCGATGCTCTGCTGATTTCGATAGACACATCCTGGGTCAGGGTCGACGCCCGGCGTCTTGCAGCTAGCATACGGCGTCGCCGTCGCCTCTCTACAGAGGTTGTAAGTCTCGGCGAAACAGTGGGAACACGCACTCAGCTTCGTCCACTGTTAGCCCTATTTCCTGCTCCACCTGAGCCCTGATGTTATTAACAACATCCGACGAAGAGCTGCTAGCCCAACAGTCTTCGTCCAGTAGATAACGTGTCACTCCACGAGCATCTGAAGGGACTTATCCAAGATGCCTCGGCCGTCCGACCAATGCCACTCGTGGCATGCAGCGACTGCTTCGTAAAGTGATCAGTGCTCAGTGGATTTCGTGTCACTCTACGTGCATCACTTTAGTCTCACCCTCGAAGCCTCGGCCCTAGGCCGAACATGCCACGCATGGCATGCAGCGACTACTCCGATACTTGAGCAGCGCTCAAGGGCTACCTGCCACTTCACGTTCGGCCCGCGAGCTATTCTTGGGACTCTTGTCCGATAAACGTTTGGTCGGGTACTCCGGTCTCCAGCACGTTGACCATACCGGTCTAGTGCCCGCGCCAGTAGCATTTTTGCCACCTAGCAGAGGTCGGTGCATGACTCACCATAGCCCCACGAGGAGACGTGCCCATAATGCCCAAGGTCTTCGACGTCCAGTCGCTCCATGGATCGTTGTGTTCCGACCATGCCATACCAAGAATGAGGTCAAACGCTGAGTTCATGATAGCAGTGTTCCACGCTATCTAAGTCAAGAAAATTGACACCGCTGTCCACAGGGACCCTTGGGGGGCAGTGGCAAAATTCTCCGTCGCTAAGCAATCACTAAAATGCGCTTTCAGCGCCTCAGCACACAGCTGACTTCTTTCAATCAGGAGCATCGAGCATAACTGCTCGACTCACCGGAATCGATTAGAATCTCCCATGGCATCTCGAAGCCCTTCACGGTCGCTTCCACGACCAGCAACCCCGGCTTGCATACACGTTTCGTGTTCAAGAGCACTGAGCTTTTCGGGGCTGGTTCCTGCTACCCTCTACCTCCTTGAGGTTCGACAAAACTCAATATTTTCCCAGTAGACAAATGCCCTTCTACTGGGTATTGTAGTTTTCCCGCAACAAACCCGAAAACTGATAAAAAGCGGAACGTCGATTTGATGCGCCTTGCGCAGGGGGCAACAAATCCGAAGGCGACGGGTGTCCCCGGAAACAAAACACCGTCGGGTGTTCGAACGCTGCTCGGCAGCTCGGAGCTCTACCTGCTCGTCATTAGCATACCTGAGATCCATCGACTCAGGCCCGCCCGACGGGCTGCGAGAGTGTGCATTCCAAACAAGTCGTGTCGACTTGAAGTTGAATTCGGCATTCAACACTACGTTCACTGCATCTTCAAAAAGAAGGGAAGACTTCCATTCTAGTCACGCCAGTACGGAGACCCTCCATAAAGACGGTCACTGCGACCGCCTCGGGAAGAGGATCAGCTGCCATACCGACGATGATTAGCACGCAATTCTTGGACAAAGTCCACCGATTCCTTCTTGCCATGTCGGGCGGCAAAGAAATGCGATTACATGCAATATGCCTGGTAGGTGGCAAGAACACTCGTATAAAGATGCAGCTTCATCACCGTCCAGAAGGGAGACACCACTTTGACCGAAGTGGCGCACGTATGTGCCCATTCGCGCTCAACCCCCGAGCTTGAAGATAGCTAGCACCACGCGCTGTTGCTCGGACCGGGAAAGTCAGTCGTAACGACTCAGATGTAGATTGGCTACAAGTGCTACCAAGTGTAGCGGGAATGCCGTTGCTCTTCTGCCTCGAGAAAGCTTGGTTTAGGTCGGCTACCTCCGTTTTATACTTAGATCCAGGACGAGTGTAGGAGATCGCAATTTACTCCTACACTCGTCCCTAACACAAGGCGAATTTACTCTTCCGTCTGAAAATGTAAACTGCATTTATCTGTTTTATTTGCGGCAAAGCTGCCTATATCTAATCTATAGGTCTTCTATAAATATAGTAAAACCAATATAAGATGCGAATCTACCGGCTATTCCAGCCACGTACTGCTTAGTTGTTTATGTGAAACCACACCATTGTGTGGTTACAAAATCTTGTATGACCTAAACCACTGTGTGATCAAACCACCTTGTGTGACCCACAGCCTTCATAACAGCGCACATGAAACCCCGTTACAGGCACAGCTTGTTTCGCTGCAAGCACAAGTCTCACCGACTCTTGCGCAAGACACGTTGTAAGTACATTTGTAGAGCGTCTGAAGTCGCTCACCGCGTTGATGCAGAATTTCTACGTGAACGGAATTCCCATACAATCTTTACAAAATGTCCGCGAGAAACTCACTTCGCAAGCAATTTCTCAAAACAGGCCATCAGTTCCCAGTAGTATTGTTTGCGCTTAGGGCAGTAGCGGTTAGAACTCAGATCATTGTGATTATTACCGATGATCTTGAGTTGGGGGAGTACTCAGATCTTGAGATTACTACCGATGACCTCGAGTTCCTACGTTAGCAGTCCGCTCGTCGCCAGGAGATAGCTGTAACAGCTACCGACTTTGGATCTGATCCACTGCAAGGTCAGTCGCATGCCGCTTGTGGGACCACGCTGCGGCGAGCGACCTTGTCTTTGCCCTAAGGGATATACAGACCGAGGTTGCGCCAAGTCGTTAGCGGTAAATGCAAGAGGACATTCTTGCCAGAATAAAACCTCGGACACCCGCGCGTTTTCAATTTGATAAATACCTTTCACTCCACCAGGAACTGTTAAAAACGCCGATCCACCAAGCGCCTCACATGAAAGTGGACCGTTTTTTCAGATTGAGCTGTTACGATAAATGCCGGTTTTTTCGCGGTTGGCGCGTGTGAGTACTATCGGTAGTGGTGGCACATCGAGTTTCTATGCGAACTACATCACGCAGTTATGAGCCTGATCTCGGATTTCCTCTCTGAGCTTTGTCATTGCACAACCTGGCTTGAGACACCCCAAGCAGTGCAAAACCGTGTCATAACCTTAAAGGAGAGGGTAGATCAGCTACAGGGGATAGAAGAGACGTTGCTTCGTCTGCAACATAGCTTTTCACGTCCGACTGAACAGTAAGAGCGGGACCGTGGTATGGCTTCAGTTACACTATATACGATACTGGGCGTGTTCACATTTGCCTCTGGATATTTAGCGTATAAATTTATCCTATCTTTGCTACGAACGCGAACGATTCGATGTAGCGCGGTTGCAACATGGTCTTATAGGTAACAGACACTGCATATTTAGATAGTTTTATCAAATTTAATCAAACCTTTCCCCCCACAACATATTCCTGGGTGTTTGGTCTGCCTCTGGCATCAATGTGTTGCTTGTCTTGGCTCTCGGCCATAGTGCTGCGCACTTTGTACATGACTACATTACATGGGAGGTCATCGGTGCGAAATTTGGTTCCGTTTCGTGATGCTGTTATTGCAGGCCTCATTAGATATGGGTAATCGATTGATAGATGCCATAACTGTGATCAATAAATCTAAAAATGTGCCAAAAATAAAAGCTCTAAAATCTGTGGTTGGTGTTGATCACCCAAATTTGATCTACACCCCGATCTTGAAACCAAAAAACGGAGTATGCCTTTGAGGTCACTAGTCGAGACTGGAAGGGAGCTGAGGACTTGATCCACTGTTTATTCTGTGTCTAACGAGAATCCGACAAGAAGCGACACCGCACAGAGAATGCCATGATTATTGGACATTGTCTTCTCGTCTAAAACTTTATCGCCAGCACCACAAAATCCAGCATAATGCGATTGGAGCATCATCAATCCCTATCAATATCGAAGAAAGACAATTTTTGACAGCTAAGTATGGCTCCATGCATGCCTTCATCGATCAAAATGCAGGGCAATGCAAATTCCAGATTTGAGGCCCAATCATTGATACGATAATCGCTAACATGTTAGAAGACGACGAGAAAGATGAACTATCCGAGATAATTATTAATCTAGAGGCACTCTAACAGATCTTGCGATGTCACAATCACAAATCGCATGATCAATTTCAAGCTCAATAGATTGAATGACCATTTGGTTTACCAATTTGCCCAGATACTCTTCGGCTTGATATCTGAACACAATATTCAACAAGCCGCTGACAGTAATAGATGACGTTTCTCGATTGCTGCTGACTGCAGTACACACTTCGAAGTGTCTTTCATGTCTGCTCACATTCAAGTGCGTTTCGGGTGTAATGCATAGCCTACACCTTGTTGCTATCCCTTTCTCCGATCGACCCACATCTGAAAAACCACATCCTTCGATTGCTGGATGTTCTGCTAACCGACTGGCAAGACAAATTTGCTCTTCGCAATTTTGTGGGGTAAACACGATGACTAGGCCACATACAGGCATCGTCGATCTATTGGAAAAAGCTGCAACAAACAACATCCTCCGGTTTTGGTTTGCTCCTAACCAAGTTGGCCTTTTCATCAACTCAATCACAGAGAGCTGAAGTATGTGCAGTTATTCTCTGAGTCCATGCAAATCTGACCACCGAGAAAAAGAGTAAGTGTCTGAAAGATGCGAATTGATGGCTTGCGTTTGGAACTATGCTTCAGTGGAAGCTGATTAAAGTATTGTTCATGATGAAATACTTCAGTCTAAACCGTCCAGTCCAAGTGCCTTCCGCCATCTGACTTCCCGTTATGTTAAATACTAACTATTGTAGACTTGGTGGTATCCAATCGCAACCATAATCTTACTGACAACTTTGATATAAATATGATTGCTTCCAACAAATCATAAGTTTTGTTGCTGTCAGGTCAGTAAATCGTTGAGAGCATGTTCTGGTTGGTCAAGGACACTAGTTTTAGACTTTATAAAAGATCAGGTGAGCAGAGAGCTGTACAGATTTTCAGCTAAGGAATCGATTACGTATTCAAGATTACTCTTAGGGATTTTGGGGTTGCACAAACTGTCATGAATTGAATTACGTGTCGACCTATGAGGCCAAATTTGCAATGAAGCTATTGCTGTTGTTCAAACTAAGCAAAAACAATTACACGGTACTGCAGATGATTGATCTTTTCTGGTATTGACAACATAACTAGCGAGGGAGAAATTCATTCTTGACGTTGTGCATACTTATATGTGCTGAACTGGCAACATTTTAAAGTCAGAAGTCAGTCGACTTAATTGACAGAAGTTTGCGCGATCTGTACGAGACATTAGATTCTCAAGTCCTGGCAGCAACATAACCATACGACATGTTCGGGAAGATATAAAGGGACAGTTAATCGAACCGTATAGCATCGAGCAAGGCAATTTCCAGCCAACCATTTCGATATTATTCCAAAACTCTTATACATGTTAAGAATCTGATCCCAGATGTGCCATAATATCGTAAGTATAACAAAGTCATATGGGAAGATAATGCATAGTGAAAACTGTATTCTTAGTATGTTTGATGGGCTACCGTTGTGATGTAATTACCATCTTTTTATCATTTTACGTTCATCTTTTTGATACATCAATTTGTGGACCATTCAAAGTCTCACAAAGTAATTTTCCCTTAGCCACCAATGCGATCATATCCTCTTGTTCTTCTCTTCGCTTTTGCTGTTGTATCTCGCATAGCCAGCGCTGATGACGTTCTTGATCCTGAACACGTACGTGAGCTCACAAGTTTTCGAAGGTTCAATGACTCTAACGAGGAGAGAGTATTACAAGGACTTGGTGATCTTGTCCGTGAAATGGTTGGTACTATGGAACTCAACGCGGTGAGGTTTCTTAAACCCAATTTCGACCACAATGTTCTCAAAAAAGTTGAGAAGTTGTTACGTCATGGAAAGTCACCTTTCGAGCTGTCGACGTTTGAGGATTTATCAATGCTGGCCGCCAAGGAAGTTAGCACGGAAGCTGCTCGTTACGTTTTGCTACACGAAGTCTTGAGTCGAATTTATGACGACGTTTCACTGGCAGAGCATATCCAGAACGCGATAGGGACTCAAATGACGAAAATCGCCGAGACCTTTCAAAGAATGCAGATGAGGGATTTGCAAAGGAAAGGGTTTGACGTAACTACTATTGCGAAAAAGAGACAGAGGGATTTTAGACCATTTAAGGTGGAGATGCCTTCTCACCTTGTATTTGTCGCTTTCGTTCGCAGCTGTGGGGAGAAATATCCTCATGCTATCCTGCTGGATGAGTTAGCAAGATACAATGGAGGTGTGTCACGTGTCATCGAAACGATATGCACATCATTGCAAACGAAATCAGCAGATGCAGTTTCAGAAGTCCCGACGCTTGGTCAGTCGATTTTAAATGATCGAATCCAATTATGGAAAGATGAGAAAACACCACCAAACGAAGTGTTTCAATCAATTTTTGGTCATATGGAGGGTGCCAAGATTTTGGATTCCCCGTCACTGGCATTCTGGAATCGTTACCAGGAGCTTGTATGTCCAAAGAAGGACAGGACGGAGATGTTGTTTGATGGACTGTTAAAACATGTAAATAATGACGAACAAAAATTACGTTCGATACTCACGACAGCAAAACGGAGTAAAAATGAGGTAACGAAAGACGATGCTATTGCTCTGGAGATTCATCTCGGACAAGAAGAAGGCAATGAAAACAAGTAGCACGGAGATGTGCCGAACTCAATCATGAATTATGGAACAGGATTCGAAGAACGGATATGTCAATGGCTTTAGACGATTTCATTGCGAGTGCTGGTTGGTCTTGAACTCGTTCTGGGTTACTTTGTTGGGGATTGATTGTGTAGTGATTATATTTTGACCTGATTTTAATCACTATGTTTAATAATTAATTTCTTTGCACTTCAGCGACTTGGTTACACTTATTGCTATTGTCATTCCTTATCAATAATATTGCGCTTTTCATACTGTAAAGTACTGGAGCTCTGCAATCTTCATAACTTCATCTTCCCGTACTTTTGAGAATTCGCGATTTCATCAGAAGGGAATGTAAATTTGTACATTTGTACCGTAATTTATTTTGTTTCCATGCCTGTACACATATCACCTGTCAAAAGTTCTGTGTAATTTTCTAACTGAGAGGCCTATATAGCTGTAACTTGTAAAATAAGCCAAAGCTTAAAAATAAAAAAAATCACCTAGAAAGCGTTACTGGAACGAAATAATGTCATACACAATACGTCAATCAACTGAGTTACATTTTGACGCAAAAGTGTTAGGGGAAGTATGTGAACAAGTGTCTCTTCCACTCTTTAATGACTTTTTGTTCTTATAGCCTTAAGCCACAAAGGGACCAATATGAATTTTAGGCCAGACTGGTCCTATTACCTTCACGAACATGTTTGGACGTTCCGTAAGAATCACATTATTTCCACAGCAATACTCTACTAAGCATCCTTTTGTGCTTTCCGTCCTTGGTGGAACGACATGCTTGATGTCAATTTTGTCAAGCTCTACTTTTTGTGTAGGCAAATCATATCATACTGAGAATTCCAACATTGTCTTCGAAAATTAGCATCAATTGGAACTTTGAGGTCGTAGCTGGATTCCAGGAACTTACTTGGCAAGTCCTATTCAATTACAAGGAGTGTGGTGATGTCTGACATCGACATAACGTATCTCAAACTCTGCGTGATAATGCAGATATCCTTGTAGGTTCAGCACTTAGTTGCGTCTACGTCTTCAGTTGGGTTTTAAGCTGCAGGCTCTACTGGTGAATAATCTATTGAAAAATGTTTAAATCCGCAGGTGCTGACCCACAGCAGATTGAGCCAGCGGTGGATCTAAATCAACCTTTAAGAATGTTCAATGATCTCGTTTTGCAGCCACAAAAAGCGTCCTCGATGCACCTTTCGCTCTTTCAATTGCTGAATTATTGTTTTTTCGGCTATGTGATGAATCTGGTGATTCTACGCTTTTCGGTTCGCATATAGCGACGGTTAGTTCTGTTGATTTTGTTTAGTAGAGACTTGAACTAAATGAAATGGGATGCATAACAAACGAATCTTTTTTTCTTCGTAATCGATAATGTTACGAGCTGAAGTGTCTTCCGCCTAATCGAAGAAGGTTCATTACAAGCTCCATACCTTGTGATCATCTAAAATTTCCTCTATAAAGTCATACTTGCGCATGACGTAACTGACAAGAGGGTTACTGAACTGCAAGATGGCGCCTTCTGAACAATGTGCAAGGCTTCAAACCATGTAGGCTACCGACGTACGGAGATACAAAGGACCGACAAGTGTTGCTGTGGAACATTATACAAAGTAGGGGGGGGGATGGTAAATTGCAAAGTGATCATGGCTACTACCACCCCTCATATACAAATTTGTTAATTTAGAAATCCATTTTGGTAAATAGACCAGTCAGCTAGTGCATAAATGTCGATGGGTAGGTACCCTATCCATCAGTTAGAGTTCATGCTTCGTACGCCGCCTGTCCCTATTCTGAGGGATGGCTTGGATTGCGCCAATGATTCTCTACAGTACATAAATTACAAATGAAAAATACTGGTGCGTATCAAGCCAGTTTAAGAAACATAAACATTATCTAAATCAGTAGATTCACAAAACCGTACCAGCATATTGCAAAAGTGTGCAACATATCCACTGCCGTAAACTTTGGATGAATTACGGTATCGGAACTAAAGTAATCCGAGGTTACGCATTTAGTAGTAACCTTCGAAATTCTTGGCTTTGTCACCATATGATGGCTGTGTGCTGCATGATGTAGCAAATATTTGAATATAACTTTATATATGTATGTGCTTTGAATCTCAAAATTAGTTAACCTCTTCAAATTTATTTTTGATCTAAAAAAATCGAAGAATAATTTGTTTTCTCTGTTTGGGCTAAGAATCTAATGCATCCAGTTCAAATTACAAATTGGGTTTGGATACAAGTCAATCGTTGCCTTCAACTATCAAGCCATTCGCACCATCCATTTTTTATCAATTATTATTGACTCGACTTTTATTCGCTGCATGTGTACTTTCAGATGGAAAGACGATATTTTTTAGAATTCATTTGCAGTCCAGTACTAGATAGCAACTGAGTGGATGTTTTCCTTGGACAAACGGGCCGGACAAGGATGTCCCAGCCTCGAAAAAGCGCCTGCCTATACATGTATACAAATCTTGTAACATAAATTACAAAGATTTGATTATTGCAAATTTGTGATTTTCGTGGAAACCTTCATCTCTCTTCAGAACTTGTAATACACTGGATTCTTTGCTTCAGTACATGTCGTAGCTGTTGTACAGGATACACGAACTCCGACTATCTCTTTTTGGGAATGCCACGACCGAAAAGTCTCCGACTCTTCCTTCATCCTGCAGACAAGACAATTTGAACTCAGTATGAAATTTCTAATACTCATCCTCGAATCTGTCACATCTGTGTGCTAATAGAAAAGCTCTAAAAAGTTCTGCCCCCTTTTCAAAGAATTCAAGTGAATGCATATGTTGAATTAGAATAATTTAGTAAGACAATATAGTCTAAATACTAAGTTGAAGAAATAGAATCCAGTCATAATCTTTTTCTAGAACAGAAGGAATTATTCGATAACACCTCTTAAATAATAATAATCTGATTCGATGATCATGTACCCTTAGCTTACTGATTTATGAAATTTATTACCCAGAAAAGAGTTGATGTGGACATGCTCTACATCTTCAACGCGCAGGTTGGTGCGCGACAGAGCATGTCCAGAAAGCCAGACACCCTCGGCTGACTGCGAACAATCCACTAGAATCGACACCATGAAGTTTACACCTCATTCTTTAACTGGCCTCTAGACCCTGAGGACGACTATCATCGAAGAGCGTATTTCAACTCTTCTATCTTTGACACTCTCTTATCATGAGACTCGCTGCTGCGTTAGCAGCGCTGTTTCTTCAGACGGCGCCTACAGTTGCGCAAACGACTACAACAACTACTGATGTGTATGAACCGACCATCCTAAGTGCGGCTGGTAATGTTACCGGCCTACCCGGTGGGAATGAAGTCTGCGGTTCGACGCGTGTGCGTAAACCATGGCATGCGTTAACGTCTGCTGAGCAGGCACTTTATCTTGAAGCAACGCAACGCGCCATTGCATCTGGTGGTGTTGCTAGCTTTGCGGCCATTTCGGCTGATTCTGTGAGTCAAGCTCAAGGTGAATACTCGTGTGGTTTATTCACCTGGTATCGTCGACTGCTGTTAGCTTACGAATCGTACTTGCGTGATCTGGACGAACGATTCGCCTGTCTTACGTTGCCTTACTATGACGTTCATACGGCATACATTCAATCGGCTAATGGTGCGTGTTCCAACATGTTTGAGTGCAGCGGCATTTTTCAAGATATTGGTGGTGCACCAAACTCAACGGTACCAACGACGCTCGTTCTCGACGGTGTCAATGCTACGGGTTACATTGTAAACGGTGCTCCGTATAACAATCAATGCAATAGCTCCAGCTGCGGGTATGTTGTACGTGACGACTTGACAAATAAATCGGTTCCGAGTGCTGCAAGTTTCAGCTCCTTTCTGAGCGTAGTAGCCACATCTGCTGATTACGCGACATTCTTGGAAAATGTCAAATACGGTGTTCACAATGAGGTACTTGATGCATTTGGTGGAACCTTCTCGACCGCGGTTGCTGCGCGTGACGTGTTATTCTATTCGTGGTACACGGCACTTGACATGTACTTACATGTATATCACTTGTGCCGTATCGGTGTTCCCGTGACTTACGAACAGATCATCGAGTCATTAGAAACGTATGCGAACGCGACGCAAACTTGTGGCGGTGTAGATGGTGTTGACGCGAATTCGCCTATTATCATGAGGATCTCACTTAATGGATCGATTGTTGATGTATCCGAGCACCCCACACTCGGTAAGTACTTTGGTTTCGTTGGAAATGACAACTGGAACTACGCTGATGTGGGACAGCTTGGCGACTACTCATACACGTACCAGCTCCCTGAGGTTCTACGTCAACAAATATTGAGTAACAATGACATGTGCACGGGTTTCAACCGCGCGTTTGCTGCTTCTTATACATCGCTAAACGCTACTGCCGTCAAGAACACAACGACTACTAGAACCACGACCAGAACGACAACAACTAAGACCACTCGCATTGTGGACGGTAAGCGTGTGACAACTACGAACGTGACTACGACAACAACCCGTTCCAACTCGACCGGATCGTCCATGTATCAGTCGACTATCACTAGTGGTCAGCTCATGAGCAGCTACAATGGATACTCGTATTTAGGTAACTTTAGTACCAACAACAGAATGTTTGGTGAAGGTACTATTGTCACGAACGGGTACACGGGCTACATGCCGTTCTACACGAATGGCGAGATCACGACTAAACACAATGGAATTCTCTGTGCAAACTTTACATCAAACTCGAATGGAACGACGACGAATTCAACTGATATGAACACAATGAGAACGACCAATGCGGTAGTGAATGTCACGGTGGGTTCACAGTCGGTTACTCGTAATGTCACCGTGTCAATTGCCACATCCGGCAGTTACTGGGCATGGCTTCAGGCGGCCTATGATGGACTTTACACCCGTTTTGATGGAAATGTTGACTTGGTCGCGATGCACATGAAGTTACTTGAGTGCTATACATTCGAGAGTATC